TTTGATGAACTGAGCATCACTCTCGAGATAGGCCGCAGGGTATCTGATTGCATACCGTAAAACGCTGAGATTTGAACGTGAGCATTACCTCTCAGGAAAACTGTAGTCAGCTCTAGCACTCTGGTAACATAGATCGGTCGCTACTGTAACAGTAGACTCCCGCTAAAACACCTCCATGGAAACACACACATAGTTTACTTGAATATTACCTGATTTTCAGCGGTCACCATGCCCTTGGGCCCAAAGACCTCAACGCGTTGGTCATAGCCGTATGGAGCAATGCGACTTGTGTTAACAGTGGCAAGCAGACCGTTGGGATATTTCAACGTCACCTAGGGTCTAGTAGTCTCGTCTACCTCTAATGGTATGTTACTACCATAGCCGTATCTACATCATCCATAGCCTTGATCTTGGGGTTGTAGGCATGCCCAATGGAATACACAGACTCTGGTATTTGACCGGTGAGGAAATGTATCATGTCGAAGTCATGAGTGAGCATATCGTGGAATATACCTAGACACAGGAATAGGATTCCAAAGTTGTCGGACTGCAAGTGTTACCTCCAGAGACCTCCAAGTACTCCATAGGAGGTTCCGGATTGTCGCGAGAAGTACAATTGATAATGCGAGGCTCCCCAACTCTACCCATTTCTATCTGTTGCTTTAGTACACGGAAATTGGGATCAGTTCTACGCTGATACCCAACACGAAAGGGCACTTCTACGGTTTTAACGTAATCAATGAGCTCCTGGAGTTCCTTCTGGTTGTCAGCGATGGGCTTCTCTGTGAGACAGGCCTTTCCGGCCTTCAATGCAGTCATGATATGCTCATGATGCATGTACGTGCTAGAGCCCACGATAACAGCTTGGACCTGTACGGAGATTGAATGAATTGCTCTATGAATGGTAGGGTATCGCCTCGGGGTCTGCCATAGCTTCCTTCATATCGGTAAGACCAATACAGCCTAGTTCCTTGGCTCGCTTCTCAACGAGTTCCTCTTTAACATCAACAACATAGAGGATTTTAACGACCCGTGGGCCGAGTCTACCTAGGGCCTAACCTCAGCAATACTAATGTTGATTCTGCAGTCAGGAGGAGTACTTCGATATGGAACTTGCCAGCCCTGCCGAGACCGACAGACACACTCCGACGGGCTTAGGAGGTATGGGTATGTTGGCTTCAGTGGGGAT